GCTTCCTTTGGCAGTGAGAACTCTCCAGCTTCCTTTCTCCACCATCTTTGTAATGTGTATTAAAAAAAAAAAAACTCCTTTTTCATGTCCAGCTTGAACTTGGGTTATTGAACACGTGATGCCTAGGCACCGCAGCGCACAATTGAATGAAGCAGCAATGTTGCAGTAGCCCTGCTGTCTCTATGCGAAATGACTCTATGAACGGCATGGGCGGACAGGGCGACCAATCTCTGGCTCTCCGCTCCATTCGTTCGATCGGTGCCCAGCAAACCGGTTGGTCTGGCATTGGACATTGGTCTGTGAACATGATGCAATGTCTTCATGTCGGCTTAGGGGTCAGAACTTCGGCACAGGGGAAGCTAGTCCGATCCTTCCAAGCTGTCAATGCCCATCTCTGAGAAAGTGGACATTCACAGTACCTCTGAATAAACAAATTTGTACCAGAACCTTCAATGTGATCTCTTTGAAGTATCTAAGTGGCCTTTTACGGGCCTAAGTGCGGGATATCAAGTTCCGTCACTTTGAAGGTCCTTGTATACACCCAGAATACTACGCCTCTTTCCACACTCAAAATGATCTCTCTTCCCAACTCTCCCCTCTTCACCCGATTGCACCCTGTCTATCGCCTTGGAGGTGTACGCAGAATGCATGAGGTCCACGACATCCTCCGCAAAGTTGCTGTCTCCTAGCGCGGATTGGATTCCTGGAAGCGGATTTGGGATTGCCTGGGATTCAGAACAGTTTCTCAGTGAACAAGGAGTGGATTTGGTCTCACCCAACGAGGCGGTGGGTTGATCCTTGTTTAGAGAGAGAGAGAGACAGAAAGAGATGAATTCAAGAGAGCCAAAGGAATGCTGAAGTATAATACAGCATGTTTATGTTGTATTAAACATATTTTGCTGATTCATTAGGGAGTCACAAAAACCTGGGCAACGATGTTGACACTCATCAAGGCCTGCCAAGACGAATCTGCATCCTGCATCAAAACACTCTATTCCCAGTTTCCCAGTGAGGCAAGCAACCACTTGCACCATGCGTTAAAAAGAATTCATTTTGCATACCGTCCCCGAACGCGAGGTTCCCAGTTCCCCAATTCACGGGCTACTTGAGCCAGCCAACTGAGATCTGTGGACGCTTCGTCTGCCGATGCATGGCTTCTACAATGGCTCCCAGATAGAGACGTTCCCCGGCCATTGGCCCGAAAAATGAGCCATTTGAACAAGTCACGGAGGTGTTGAATTTTTGAAGCAAATCTGTGCCACTCCGATTTGTGGATTGAGCATCTAGTTTCTCAAGAGTTCTAAATCATACCAGCAATTCATGCCTCAGTTGATGTTGCCCCTGTCGTTGCATCTTGATCTCAAACTTGTGTAATTATTCGCAATGCAGAACGCCTGGTTTCCGGCACAAAGGTTGCACCAATCCAAAGCTCCCTCTCTGAAAACGCATGAACATGGAGTGTGCTTGGCGCTGGGCGGATTGAGTTGAGTTTTTGAGCCCTCTCGAGCGAATCTCTGGAGCACATACACTCTTTAAAGTCATCTAAAGTAGAAAACCACGGGGGATCGAGGTCTTCAACAGGTCTCACACAGCCCTGCGGCGACCCGTCCGGCCTTGTGCAAAGGTGTCAGCGGCGCCGTAGCTAACGATGGCCGCCCCCTTGGTCTCATCCGAACGACCCGGGAGGACGACCAGTCGCGTATCTTTTGGTAATTTTTAATATAGGTCTCTTGTTTGGAATTCATGGACAATTTGCAGTGTAAAAGTAAAGGGCAACAAACAACGATTTGGGGAGTCCCCAGCATATTTGAGGGGAAAAGAGTGGTACCCCAAAGCCATTGGTGGAGCAAATCGACCTGTGGGTTCATCAAATACTGCATGTTCGACACCTCCGTGTCCTCCGATTCAACCTTCGTGTCATCCATCCAGACCTTCGAGGCTCTCCACTCAACGATCTCCACGACTGAATGCTCCCCTGAGCTAAAGACCATTCCTGCTGCGATGGCTTTGAACTTGGGCACGGGCTCCTGCGACCGGAACGGATGGGCGACCAGATCGGCCGATGTGATGTGCCACGGCTGAAGAAGATGCAAATCAAATCCAGGAAAGTGGGATTTCGACACATGACATGTCCAAAATCCCAAACATGTATATATAGAACATCGATTATTGAATTTTTGAATGCTATCCTATCCTCAAAGTGAAATTTCACCCATCTGACAAGGAAACTTGTCGCCATTATTGATGCTGTTCGAGTGTGGCAGGCAAAGTTATACAGTACCGTGAGTGCACATCAAAAGATAGACACACCGTGGATTTCCTTGAGTTGCAACACTTCAGGTAAACTTGAGGTCCCAAAATTGGATTCAGCCAATCTCTCTGTGTAAACTAGGGTCGGGCTTAGATGCTTTGGGCCCGAACCTGGAGTTGTCCTTTTGTATGCGTTGGTAAAGTCGGACGGGCGACCCCTCAGCCCACCGGTGGAAAGGACCCAATTGAGATGCAAGACCCCCTTTGGAGGTGGTGTTCGCTCATGGGGGAGGCAGTTCTTCTCCACTCGCAGTACATGAAGTTGACAAAGCCAATACAGTACTTGAGTACATGAAGTTCTTCTTCTCCTCTGGGCAGTGGACATGTTCTTCTTCTCCAAATATTTGCAGGACATCCTCCAGTTTAGTTATCTACTATGTGTTTCTTCTTCTCCTCTGATCCTCTGCCCCCTCCCGCTGAGGCTCAGCTCCTCATCGTCGGACTCCTCTCACTGCGGAGTGATGGAGTGTATCCGTTCAATTGTATACTAGGAAAAGCAGCAACCCCTTGACCGGCAATCATTTGATCTCTAATACCCCTGCAGGAACCTTACTTATAAGTGGCCTTGGGTGAAACGTCTACCACTTATCGACGGCCAAGGTTGACTCTCACTAGCCAAATAGAACCAATTCTGGCCCCCTCGACATCAGTGTCTACAAAGGTACCACCATCTTTGCTGGGCAAAGCGGCGGCGACAGTATGATCTAGGGGGCCTTTCATGCTATCCATCAAAGGCATGTCCTGGTCTTCCGAAGGCGTTACCATGCATCTGCGAAGAATAGAGTCTTCCGAAGGGCCACCACTACAGTCTATGTAGCAAGAAGGCTTCGAGCTTGGACCTGTCCAAGCTCAAGTCACTGCTAAAAGCTGGTTTCCTCCCCATAGGATATACAAGGCGGAGCGTCCAGTCATGGCCAGCAGCTCTTCTACAAGGTGGGGCTTGTTCTATTTGAATGGAAGGCCATCTTCCTGTACATCTTACTGCTTCCGAGGTCTAATCTCCTTGTGCGGTGGGAGTGAAGCAGGGCCACTAGGGCACTCACACAGAGCCTGGGAATCTTGCGGGCCTACACTCACAAGGAAGGTATAAGGACAACATGCCTCGGATCGAGGAAAATGGTGTTGAGGGGTCCCATCTTCATGTTTGTCTGCGGGAAAGTACCATAGAGTAACCACACCAATCATGAAGATGGAACTAAACTCCGTCCCCAACTTCACATCTATGGTAGGAGTACCACACCCATCTTCCATTTGGCACCTCCTATTCTTCTTCCTGCCTGTGGTGCGAAGTGGTTCGGATGATCTCAGGCCTGTCCATTGGAGGCCTTTTCCTGATCCTCTTGGCTCTTGCCTGAGACGCAAAGACACCCGGAGGATCACTACACTGCAGGACAAGGTGGCACAGCTTCGGCAATAGTAGCTGAAAAACATGCTTTGACTGCACTCCGGGGTGTAGCATTTATTGTGTAGCATGGTGCACATGTCCTTCTTCAACCAACCTCCGCGTCAATTTTGTAGCCTTCCTCAACTTGTGTATCGCGAAAAAAAGCTCACTCATCCTCCCAGCCTGAAGTTCGCACCCAGCCAGTCATGGGATCTCGGGACTTTCTGCTAGTCTGTGAGTAGAGACCACTCCCCCCATGAGGAGTATGGATTCTATCTATTGGACCCTACATGTGAGTCTACATTCGATCCATCTACAACATCTTGCCCATTGTCTCCATGGTCCATCCGACTAGCTCTCCACAGCCAATTGGCTGCCTCGAACAAATCCGTCGGAGAGAAGATCCGCCGCGTCGGTCGTCCGAGAGAAGATCAGCAATAGATTCCTGCGGAAACACATCCGATATTCCTTTCCCTGTGCCTTGACCAACACATGACCAGCACACACAATACACTGTCACCAACATCAACCAACCAATACGGCCCAGAGAGTCTGAACAAAGCTTTTGTAAACTAATGACCACCACTCCCAGCCTTCGAACTGGTCAGGCTGTGGAGATGCTTCACCTTCTCATGCCTTTTCAACGTTTCGCTGTGTCAGCCAAGCCCAACTTTTCGCTCTGATAAGTGAATAAAAACGCCCGAACGGCAAAAGACCATCGCCCCTCACTGCATTCGAGTGGGGCGAACATGAAAAGCGTGAAACTGGATGTACAGAAGTCCCAGTCGGTTGCCTGGGTAAACCCAAGGCTTGGTTCCGACATCTTGTCAGGAACGCAGAATCACCCAACTTGCACCCTCCAAAAGCCATCCAAAGACCTACTGTAGGTTCTACATTACTGAAGCACTCACAGTACGTAGATTTGAAGCTTCACCAGACATTCCACCTCATTCCACCGAGCAAATTTGACCACCTCGGTTCTTTTCATATGAATGTGCTCAGAGTCTTCCAAGGCTCAGAATCACCCCAAATCAGATTGGATTTAAACAAGGATGAGGCCTGTCTTGTTTCTCTCACGTAGCTGGTTTGGGTCAGCAAGTTGGGCCGAGCTGCCCTTTTTGACCGATGAGACCCCAGTGGATCTGAAGATGATTGGTCTGGATCTCTTGTGGAGGACTGGGCGCCGCATTGTCAGAAGTGCTGGACTGCAGGACTAAACGATTTCCGAGACATTTTTAGTGGGCAACTCTTCCTTCTACATCCTTCTACCAAACAGTGTCTTGATGGCTGTTGGGGGCTAATATGAGGACAGACCAGCGATCGGCTTTCGGTGCATAGCTCAACTTAAGAGATCCGGGATCGGCGCGGCCGAATACAACGGAGCCTTCAGCTCTTCCCATCTCCTCCGTCGATCGCACGCTTTTCGCTCCAAAACTGCGAAATTCTGGAGGGCGACGCGGTGAATCAAGCCATGCGCTCAAGGTCTTACCATCAACAAGCGAATGTACCTGCCTCATGCGACTAAGGCATGACGTAAAACGACCCGTTCACCACCTACAGTCAGGGAGGTCTTAGATGTGTCGCTTACTGTTCACCATGACAAACAAATCGACACGTGGTTTTTGTCGGGCCTGCAAATCGACACGTGCCTGGCACGAAAATACCTGGGAGATGAACAGCAGGGCATGGCAGGACACTGACATAGGTATATATTCTATATTACACAAACAAACTTCGAGCTTCTCACAAATAGTATGTGCATGTATGTGCTCTTCTGCAAATGCCGTTCCTTTTATTTTAAAACCACTGCTTCCATCCATGCGGCCACGAGAGTTTCCCCGATCCAATGTTCCGAAACAAAAACAAAGCAAATAAATAGTGAAATGGTGTATATCATGGTATACTTGGTATATCCCATGACCAGGTTTCAGTGGATAATGGTAACTTTAAAGGCCTAGAAAGAGTGATGTCCTTGTTTACCCACTGTTACAGGATGTTACAGGTAATGGGACAAACCCAACGAATAGACATTAAAGGCGAGAAATGACACTGACCTAACACATTCGGACCTGGTCCATGAAAGCTGTGAAAGACATGAGGAACCCAAAACACGGCTCATTCTTGCATCATTCATGCAAACGGAATGTTCTAATCATGCTCGATTGAAACCCGAATCGTCCGAGTCGCCTCCGCTTGGTGCCCGGTCGGAAGGGGCCTGCCACCCCCACCCTCCATCCGGGCCTCCTCCTCACCCTGGAACAGCTGTTGTCCTGGCTTCTCCTGGCGTCCAACGTCAGAAGCTTGGAGCGTTCTCACGTGGGTTCCCATCTCCAACGTTGGGTTGCACTTATGATGCGATCTCCAACGTCGGAGACATTGACACGTGTTATAGGATTCTTACTTACTAAGAAAGCGTATCTTTCCAGATCTTTCCAGGGGGCCTCGGTTGTTGATCATCACCAACTATAATTATGTGAGTGGTTCATTGGGAAGGAAGCCAACAAACTAGCATCCTTTAGTGGACCGTTCACAGATCCAGGTCATAAAGAGCATGGTTTTTAGATGAACAAGCGGTGTGAAGACCCAATGAAATCCACAGAAACGACAGCTGAATTTATGTGGGTGTCGACTGTCGGCTCTGGAAAAAGTGTTGTTGATCTTGCACTCAACTTGCTATCTAAGATATCGGTTGACTCTCAAAAGCCCTTTCACGTAGAAGCAAGTAGAAGTGTTTCTAGGTACCCAAAGAAAGATATTGAACAACACATATGCCCACAGAGCAGCAAAACCGGTTCAAAAGGATATGTGACCAAAAGTGAGTGAATTATGAATTCAATCATGGGCGTTCACGAAGGCATTGGGCACTTAAGGTCTGCAACAATTTATGGTCTGCAAACCAACTCTCACCAGATGCGCTGCTTTGTTTTGTTCAGTATTAAGCAATAGGTACTGTTCGAAACCTCCGGTCGAACATACACTCTGGCAAAAATCATCGTACTGGAGACCTTGAAGTGATTCGCTGAATAACACAATTTTTGGATGATCTTGGCAACAAAAGTAAACAGTATGATTCTGATTGATTCTGTGTGAAGATCTTGGAATCAAACCCGGTCTTCTTCACTCTTTTGTGCAGCATCCTCATATGTAGGCCATAAATTTGCTTCCTGCTTGGAGGCTTGATTCAGTTATATATATATGCTCTACCAATGGGCTTCGGCGAAACTTCCCTGGGATGTGGCTGGGGCGTTGGAGACTCCTCCACCACGTGCACGATGGAGCGCGGCAGCGAAAAGACATATGGCATCAAACGAACCAAACGAGGGGCATTGCTACTAGGAGCAAGGACGCTACTAGGGGCTCCTGCAATCCGTATGACCAGTTCAAACCCCGAAAAACATATCTTCATTCTTCATCACCAGACTTCTTAAAACGTGGACGAAAAGCTTCAGCCACCGGTTATCGTCAAAGCATCGGGGCACCCCATCTAGATTGTTCCTATCTGTCCTGCGCCTAGAACACATCACATCACGAGTTGTTGCTCCACAAAAATTCCCAAAGAGCCATGCGGAAAGAGCCATGGGAAAGAGCCATGGAGGCTCCAGAGACCTGTTCCAAGAAAAATGCATAAGAAAAGATCCTTCCCATCCTTATCCTCCCTCGAAACACCGCCATTGTCCTTCGTGGCTGGGTATCCTGAAGAGCGACATGACAGGGTGGAAAACACTGTCACCCAATATTCCAATGCGTTTACGGTGACTGTTAAGAGAAATTACGCCTGAAACATGAAACATTTTTCAAACACATCTCTATTCACTGCAACTGTATACGTTGTACATTGACAACTGATTGGTTGGTTTTTCTGAAGATTTGCCCTGGAGAAAAAAACTTGAACAACACCTGTTTGTCCCTCATCTTCCTTGGCTTCTTATCAGTCCCAAATTCTTTAGGTCAGCTTCTGTATTATGTTGAACAGGCCTTTGGCAGCTGCACACCACTGCTTGTCTGAAACTCATCTTGGTTCAGCTGTCTTGATAGGAGCCCTAGCCATCCCTTGCCATCCTAGTGCGAACATGCATAAATCATATAACAAGTGTTTAACAAGTTTTAACTAACACAAGCTCACAAGTACGACGCCCTCCCCAGGTGCATTGACACCAAGTGCCAAAGACCGAAGCAGCAGGGAATGCGCAAAGAAAAGGCACAGTTTGCCACGAGTCGTCCATGTTCCATGTCCAATCCCAAGCATCCATGGGACTGGAAGCGGTACCTACCTTAGGGTCACTTTCATATGGTAAATGTATGTATACAGTCAGTATACATATAGTCTCATGGATGGTTTTTCATGCTCACCCAAGAATGGACCGTTCTTTCTCTCACCAATCCACCTTGCTGTTGCTCGCTCCGCTCTCAATGCAGCTCGTTCCTGCTCTCCCACCACCCGCCGTCACCTACCTTGCGACGGACTCCAGGAAGAGCTGCGGTGACTCGCTCTGGACAGCGCAGGCGAGGCGACCGAGAGGTGAAGTTTGAGAGTTCAGAGGGCACAGCATGAGATATGTTGTAAATATATAACATATATATGTATATATATAGAGTGATATGAACATAAACTAATATACATATGATGACAAACATTACATATACATACATACATACATACATACATACATACATACATACATACATACATACATACATACATACATACATACATATATCATATATACAGATGTTACAGATTAGATGATAATAGATGTATGTATATAATGGCAGATATACCGGGGAACACTGCTTGGTTGAAACCAAGCAAATGGGAATCTCAATATTGATCGACGTTGCTATCATGGTCAGAGAACTCTTCCGTTTCTGCAATTCAACTAAGAGAACCGTCTTTGGAATCCATTTTTGCAAAAGCTCGTTCAGGTCGGATGGCTGGCTCTTTGGCGCTGTTGGTGACTTCCAAAGGCAACCCTGTGCTCATTCGTCTGCACGATGAGCTACATGAAACCGATGAAATTGGCCAGGGCATGAGGGTTCGGATGCTTCGCCTTGTAGCAAACCATCTTACTCTTGCTCCATCCTGCGCTGAGGATGTCCCCTAGCACATGGTGCGCCGTGATTCCCTCCAGCCTCGGACGTCCAATGGCTGCAGAAAAAAAATGCCCGTTTGATGCAATTTACCTTGGTCAAGACTCTCGTTGTGGGATTTCTAGGGTCAACGTTACCCCTTGGGAAACATCTGAAGTCCAAGTCCATCAGCCAAGTCACCGTTCTTCTGTCAGGTACTTATCAAAGTCCCAACTCGAGCCGGGGTTGAAGACGTGGCCGCTCACGCGGCGGAAGCTGCCCTCTTGAGTGAGAGACTTAGCTAATTGAACAGCTAAGGCTCCGCCCAGCGAATGTCCAGTGACTATTATGTCACTATGTGGTGTCTGCTTCACGACCGTTTTGACCTCATCAATGACCTCTTCAACAAGGGGCATGAACTCATTGAGATTGAAGAGGATCATCGCGTCATGCGCCAGGCCAGCACGAGCAGCAGTACCCTGGAAAGCGACCAGGAGTTTCTTACCACTGTCAGCACAAGCAAAAAGGGCATATTTTGGGTTGCTCAAGAGCAGCTTCCATCCACAGGCACTGGCTTTAGCCTCCCGGTCGGCTTCTTCTTGTTCATACATCACTTTGCTGATCTTTGCCAGGCTCTTGGCTTCTTCAGCCATGTCTTCAGCACGCTGCGCGCTCCGGAACCTCATGGGCGCGAGGACTAGTGGGATTAGTACGGTGGCAGCCGTGAACCCCAGCACGCCGCGCAACGGGTCTAGCACGTTCATCACCGGCATGGCAGTCACGGCAGCGATGGGCATTTATTATACTTGAGAGGCGGGAACGAAAGCGATGACAACGATGAATGTGAGAACACCTTAAAAATTCCCTGGGGATGATGTTTGTGATGTCGTGTCCCTTTGGGCACCCCCCTAGTCAATATCGCTTCAATACGTTAAGGGGGGGGTCCTCAGTGGCGGGGTGGGGTAAACTGAAACTTCAGCTGACCTCCTTCGGAGATCGCTTTCGTGATTGTGCAAACATATATATATATACTATAGTCATATTGGGTCTAACATGGTCTGACCCATTACTTCAAACGGGAGCACTGCATACACATATATAGACCTCTCCGCCTTCTCCCTTTCCATTTCACCATGTTTTCACTGTGTCATGTCTCTGATCCCAACACATGTCCTTGCAGGACCGACTCTGAAGAAGACCTCTTCAGAAGACGCGATCACTTCTTTGACTTCCTCCAGTGCATTGAGAACACCAAAATGGGTTTGGATTTGGATTTGGATCTTACGAATCAACAGCAACGTGTAAAAGGACCTGGACCGCCAACCCCACTGCTTGGGTTTCTCCACCCGGGCCGGATATCAGTTGAACACCAACTTTTCTAGTGCGTCCTGGTGTAGAAGAACCGCATTTTCACACGCCTGCATCGACGGAACATTCCACACGCCTTCATGTTGCTTGCTTTCCGCAGAGATTCCTCCAGATCTTCACCTCGTCACCCAAGAGGGCTGAAACGGCCGACGAGCAAAGCCGAACTCAGAACTTCCAGTAGAGGCCATGGCTCCAGAATTGGAGAGGCACAGTATAGAATCCAAAATGTTGTCTTCTATATCTATATATTGAGAACCTTATCGGTTGCAAACTCAGAGTGCCTGTTCCGACAAACACAGTCTTTTCTTTGGGCAAAGAAAAAAACTCGGTGTTTTCACCCGCAGCAAAGAGATGCAAAGAGGTCATCCATCCTCATTTGCTCCTCAGTTGCTTCTCACTTGCTCTGGCCTCCCATTTTTCCGAGGACCTGAATCTGAATCTCTTCCTCCCGCTCATCCTGCCGATCGACCCGGTGGGCTGTGCGACCCCGCCTTCCGACCAACGCGGTTGACGAGTCTTGCAGATGATTTGACGGAAACTGTTCCGTGAAATAGAAACCCCGAACAAACCGAGCTGTACCCAAGTGATATGATATGACCCAGACATTCCCAAACACTCCATGGGACTGGAATACAGTAGATGCCGCCACAGTAAGACCCCCCAATGACTCATGGAGTGTATACAGTGAGGGTATAGAAAAACATCCTGTGGACCCGTGGATGTGTACTTGCCATTGGCATCCATTGGCCAAGAGCTTAGGAGTTGGGAACGACCATGGGGTTGCAGTGGGAACCACCCATCCTTAGGTCCTTGCAATTGGTTGCCTTTCAACCAACTGATAAACTAATCCTCCGCCGGCCCATGCCCAAGGATTTCAGAGTTCGAGCCCTGTGACATGTACAGAACATCTGACCAGAACATGTGACATGAACATCTGACTGAGCACATGAAACCGGCCATGCAGTATCACTCCATTGAACTCGGCAGTATATAATATGTTATACTATAGGGCGAGCGATAGAAAACTCGCCCCACTCGCCCTATACGTAGTAGCAATTTTGTCGACGGGTGTTTTTCCAACAGGGGAAGACGTGCGAAAGCAAAGAACACCCTACGAGTACCCTGCGTTTGACTGTGGCATCCCTCATTTTGAGCCGCACACAGAAAAATTACTTTACTTCGAGTGATCCCCGCCATGACATTTCAATCATTTGACTTGATGCCATAGTGAGGAGCATGTTGCCATGGTCGTGAGTATTGTAGTTATCGATTTTGCTTGTGGGTCCTCGGGTTGCGTGCTGCGGTTGTGTGTTGTGGTTGTGGTTGTGTGCTGTGTTGTGGTTGTGGTTGTGTTTGTGATTGTGTGTTTGTGGCTGTGTGTTTGTGGATGTGTTTGCGGTTGTGCTTGTAGCTGTACGTTTGTGGTTGTGTCTTTGTGGTCGTGTTGTTGTGGTTGCGTGTTTGTGGTTGTGTGTTTGTGGTCGTGTTTATGGTTGTGTGTTTGTGGTTGTGTTTGTGGTTGTGTTTGTGGATGTGTTTGTGGTTGTGTTTGTAGTTGTGTGTTTGTGGTTGTGTTTGTGGTTGTGTGTTTATTGTTGTGTCTTTGTGGTTGTGTGTTTGTTGTTATGTTTGTGGTTGTGTGTGTGTGGTTGTGTTTGTGGTTGTGTGCTGTGGTTGTGGTTGTGATTGTGCTTGTGGTTGTGTGTTGTGGTTGTGGTTGTGATTGTGCTTGCGATTGTGTATTTGTGATTGTGTGTTTCTGGTTGTGTTTGTGGTTGTGTGTTTGTGGTTGTGTGTTTGTGGTTGTGTGTGTGGTTGTGTCTTTGTGGTTGTGTGTTTGTGGTTGTGTTTGTGGTTGTGTGTCTAATGTTGTGTGATTGTGGGTGTGCGTTTGTTGTTATGTTTGTGGTTGTGTGTTTGTGGTTGTGTCTTTGTGGTTTTGTTGTTGTGGTTGTGTGTTTGTGGTTGAGTGTTTGTAGTTGTGTGTCTGTGGTTGTGTGTCGATTGTTGTGTCTTTGTGGGTGTGTGTTTGTCGTTATGTTTGTGGTTGTGTTTGTTGTTGTGTTTGTGGCTGTGGTTGTGGTTGCGTGTTTGTGGTTGTGTTTGTGGCTGTGTGCTTGTGGTTATGTGTTTGTATTTGTGTGTTTGTGGTTGCGTTTGTGGTTGTGAGCTTGTGGTTGTGTTTGTGGTTGTGTGTTTGAAGCATACTATCTGCCATTCAATTTGCCATTCTATCTGGCAATCTATCTGACATACTATCTGGCATACTGTCTGGCATTCTATCTGGCATTTTGTCTGGCATTCTATCTGGCATATTTTCTGGCATTCTATCTGGCAATGTATCTAGCAATCTATCTGACACACTATTTGGCATACTATCAGGCATATCTTCTTGCAGCATTCAATCTGGCAATCTACTTGGCATTCTATCTGGCATTTTATCTGGCAAACTACCTGGTTGAGGTCCAGCGGTGCACACTGCGATCGGATCCTTGCGGTTGAGGTCCAGCGGTGCACACTGCGATCGGATCCTTGCAGTTGAGGTCCAGGCGTGCACACTGCGATCGGATCCTTGCGGTTGAGGTCCAGGGATGCACACTGCGATCGGATCCTTGCAGTTGAGGTCCAGGGGTGCACACTGCGAGGGGATCCTTGCGGTTGAGG